TTGCCTGGGGAGGTTGTGGAATCTCCATCACTGGAGATATTTAAGAGCAGGTTGGATAGACATCTATCACGGTTGATTTAGACAGTGTTTGGTCCTGCCATGAGGGCAGGGGATTGGACTTGATGACCAATGATGGATATTCCACATTCTCCCTAGGCAATTTATTCCAGTGTTTAACCATCCTGACAAGAAGTTTTTCTCCTAATGTCCAACATACACTTCCCTTGCTGCAATTTTTCTCTCTACTCCTTGTAACACCTGAAAACCGCTATCATGTTCCCTCCCAGTCTTCTCTTTTCTAAACTAAACAAACCAAATTCCTTCAATATTCTGAAAGAATGTAATCTAAATTAGGATACCAGAAGTATTTGGATGAAAGAGGCTCAACTGTGTTTAGATGAGTTGCTAGCACCCTACCCCTTCCTTACTCATTTCTGTAGTTAGCACATTCTTTTTGCATACAACAGAGATGTCATACACTTACGTTTTCCTCCCAGAAAAATCCACTCCCACATCTGTGCTTTGTTAAAGTTAAAATTACAAGAGCTGACAGCTCATGGGAAGATTTTTTCATATTTTTTCTTTAAGTTGGGATTTAATAAGGCGGTTGCCTATGGGCCAAGGTTGACTCTTTATTCCCTGCTGTTACATAACCTCTGTGATGGTAGCCCAGATCAATTATGAATGGAGGACCCTGGCAGACTAATAATTCGTTAGTTTAGGGAATTTTGAATGTGTTGAGCTCCCTGTGGATTATTAATTTCATTATTGCTACTTAATTAACGTAGAGTACAAAGTTGCACGGAGACTTCTCAACATTTAATAGGGCCACCATGCCAGATAAATGCTTCCACCCAGTAAAAGACGACAGCAAAAATGCTATGAGTTTACTGCTACAACAATTTGATGATTACATACACTGCTCTAGCTACCAGAGCTTTACTTATAAGGCCTCGACTCAGCAGTCATATGTTTGATAAAACATATCTTGAGTCAGCCCATTTGAGTCCTGGGTCAGAAGACAGAGCCTAACAAAACAAAGGCAAGTCTGCCCTCTCAGAGCTAAGAACCCAATTGATTACAAGAGACCAAGAATGAATAACAGGAATGAAGGTGCAGATAACAGGATCAACAAGGGATCCAGAGGAGAACACCAAGACAATGCTCCCTGTTCCAAGAAGATGTCAGTCGATGCCATCCAGAGGAACTCTTGGCAAAAGAAAAAACCAAAACAAAAGCCTAACTGATCACCACATTTGGGAACAGGAAGGAATTTTCTCCTGGGTCAGACTGGTAGTGACCCTTGGTTTTTTGCCTTCCTCTGAAGCATGAAGCACAGGTAGCTTGCAGGTTTAAACTAGTGCAGTGTTTCTCAACCTTTTTTAAAAAAAATACCCCTTTAAAAAATTATATGTATACCTAGTACCTACACTTTTCAGATACACAATTTTTTTTCTACCATTGCGACACATTTGTTTAAACAACTTAATCGTTGCCTGTCTGGGGATGAAATTTTTGGGTGTAAAAAGTACAAAAATAATAAAGCACTGTAAAACTTAAAACAAAAATTCAGTTTTTTCCCAGACTTCTCTTGAGTACCCCTAAGGGTACTCATACCACTGGTTGAAAAACACTGAACTAGTGTAAAATGGTGGATTCTCGTTAACTTGAAGGCTTTTAAACATAATTTGAGGACTGGGTGAGTTGCAGAAGAAGTTAGGATCTATTACAGGAATGGGTAGGTGAAGTTCTGTGCAACATGCAGGAGGTCAGACTAGATGAACATGATGGTCTTTTCTGGCCTTAAAATCTGAGAATATAAATCTATCAGAAAAATCTCTATAAATTGGAATAGTTAAGGACCAAAACTCCTTGTATGTTATATTTGTACACAGCACCTATTTAAACCAACATGCAAAGAAAATTGCTCTAGGAATCTTTAAAATGCCATGAAGTGATTCTATTGGCCTGCCTGAATTGTGAGGCTAACTATGGGAAAGTGGATGGAAGTTTATAAATTGATCCAAGTACTGTACTTCTGAATACGAGGAGAGAAAACCTGAAACTAAGTTAACACAGGGGAGGATTAAAGGGTTTAGACAAAGCTGCTTTCCAGACAGCCTCCACTTTCAATAACATTTAGTTGGTTTCCCAGTACCGGCACTGCCTCTGCAACTTATAAATATGATTTGATTCCTCCCCAGCTCTAAATTTTGGCATGGCTCCCCCATGCCTTCTCTGTTATGGGCCTGATCATGCAGCCTTAAATCACGCCACACGTGCTGGATTGAGTCTTAGCTCAATTGCATTTTTGAACCAGATTCATTTTATGCTAGTCTAAATGTGCTATCTACAGAGACAAAGACACATATAACAAGGCATAATTAAAAGATCTGATTCTGCAAGGCCCTCTAGAAGGGGGAAAAAGTATAACGTGACAACAGGTGGATACAACTAACAGATATGGTCAGCACAAGATAACAGTGACTCAGTTATGGTAAGTGTAATGAAGGTTGATATGTTCATTTCAAAGGTTGTGACATTAAAATTACAAAGGCAATTGAAATTAATATCGTTGCCATATGCTATGCCACCCACTGTATATAGAATATGCCTGAGTACCATCTATATTTTTGCACTAGGCATAGTGTAAAGATTTTCAAGGACAACCATTATGGTACTGATTAATACAGCAGATGTTTGAGTCTATGTAAGACATGTTGGTTCCTGGTCTGTAAAATTGTAGTAAGAAAAATACTTTTGTTACAAAGGCAATTGTCGAAGAGCAGATGTGTGTTATTATGTAAACTCTTTGCACAAGGAAATGAAGATACAAGACTGGCTTTTACATTTTAAGGAGTGAGTTGCTCCTACAGTACACGTAAATGTCTGGTACAAAAGGGCTTAACGGGAAGAGACTAAGCATTCCTAAAAACATCTCTGCCTAGTCTAGGGTAGAAAGAGGGATGAGTAGAGAATCAAGGGCTAAAAACACATTACTGATGAGGACAAATCAGTCTAAAGTTTAAAAAAATGCTTTATTTTTTAATGCAGTTATGTAACAAAAAAAATCTACATTTGTAAGCTGTAGTTTCATGATAAAGAGCTTGCACTACAATACTAGTATGAAGTGAATTAAAATATCATTTCTTGTGTATCATTTTTACAGTGGAAATATTTGTAATAAAAATATAAAAGCAAGCTCTATGCACTTGGTATTCTGTGTTGTAATTGAAATCATTTTGAAGTGGCATTCTATTGTTTAACAGTGTAATTAAATGTGTGATTAATTTTTTAGAATTAATCATGTGAGTTAACTGCAATTAATCAACAGCCCTACTTTCTACATATTCATTTGTATACCAGTCTGGAAAATACCATTTATCCTAAGGGTTAACCGTACTACCTACAATGATTCTGAAGGCATCATGGCTTGCCCAGGGTGTTAGCAACGTTCCAGATGTCTTTGACTTCATTCAGGGCTGCATTTTCATTTCTTAATATTTGATTAGGAGCATTAGAGACAGGAATGGGGGAAAGAGGGAGACAGCAGAATAAATAAAACTCATCATTCAAAAGTTTTAGAGGGTTTTGAATGTATAGCACTGAAGCAGGGAGTTTGCAATGCTATCAAAATGCCTAAAGCCCTAGTTTTCAATGTCATAGCATGTGTCTTGCTAAGTACTGGCCACCTATTTTTTATTCAGTGCAGCACAGAACAAAAATAGAAATGTGCTCATTCCCCTAGTGTAAGGAAAACTGTTAAAACCTAATCATGAAGCCTTGAACAAATTGTCATTTAACAACAGACTCTGGCACACAATTTTCTACACCTACATGCCTTTGAAAATTTTACCCTAAATATTTAATTGTGGTGACACCCAGTAACATTGCAAAAGACAGTTCATCTCCGTTACTGTAGGTGGGACAAATGGAAAAAGAAACCATAAGATTATTTTTAAAAATTGTTTCACTCTCTTTATTTTATCATTATTTTTGCACTCCTATAGTACTGTCCATGTGAAATAGCTCATTTAAATATTAATCTATGAAGCCTCACAATAATCTTGCAAAGTAAGGTGGAGAAACTGAGGCACAGAGAAGCTAAGATACTAGGACCCAAAGTAAGAGTCAAGTAGTGAAAGAGCCACAAATTACAGTGTATCAGAAAAGGTTTCCCCTCCCCCATGGATAATATTGATTTTTTTCCTTGGAAAAGCAAAAGATTTGACAAAAAAATCAACATATTCTATAGAAAGCAGACACATTTTGCCCAAGAATTCATTTGATGAAACCCCCATAAATTCCAGCCATTGCTTTCAGGAGTAAAACTAAGAAGTCTCAAATCCCAAGCCCCATGCCTAATGAGACAGAATTTTCAAGAGTGACTATTGATTTTGAGTGCCAAAATTGATGGAGATTTATCTGAGCACCCTTTAAAAGTGTCAAGTCCCTTTAAAGCATTGCAGGTTGGACACCTAAAATGGAGGCACTGAAAATCACAAGCCCTTTTTAACAACCTACAGCCAGGCTTCCTCCATTTTTGTGTTATAGTGAAGTATATCGTAGCACAGGGATCGCTTTGGCGAATGGGCTTGGTAGTCTCAAAATGCACATTTGTTGGAAGCTGACCAGGGCTGGCCTTACCATGAGGTGAACTGAGGCAGTTGCCTCAGGTGCCAGACTGGGGGGGGAGAGGGCGCCACTAGGACCCAGAGTGGAGAAAATTGTGTCTGCTGCTGGTGTATATGTATTCTCTCTGCTCTAGATGCACAGCAATGGTGGAATGCCATGAGAGGAGTAGAACAGGAAGAAGGCAGAATTGAGACCTTTCAAAGTTTTGGCCCTCGCCTTTGAGCTCCTCGCCTCAGGTGCCAAAATGTTGTGGGCCAGCCCTGAAGCTGACAAGGGTATGAAATCTCCCCAGCCAGAGAGTGATTGGATTGCAGCAGTTTTAAAATTGGCCTGGAAACTAGATTATGATTGTGACTTTGTCTTACCTTAGGAAGCCTGTACTTTTCTCTCAGGTGAACCCTCAGACAGGCTCTCTCTGCCTTTTTTTGTGTGAACGCTGCATCTCTCTCCATCCTGAAAAATCAAAATAAGAGGCCTGTAACCAGAAACCTATCACACACAACTTGTCACTGTCACAGAACTATTTACTCACCCCTAGTGAAGTATAGACTGAAGTAATTCTCATGCCCTTTTATGCTTTAACATAGTATAGTCGGCATCAGAGTAAACAAACAAAACCACACTTATGTAAAGCTTTTTATTAATCTATGTTGCAACACTTCTGGGAGGCAGATTCGTATTATGTCCATTTTACAGAGGAACTAGAGACACAAAGTTAAACCACTGGTCCAAAGCTACAAAAGGAATCCCTGCTAGAAGTGCCATTAGAAGTCAGGAATTCCTGATAACCAGATCTATAGTCAGACCAGTAGGTCATTAATCTTTGTAAGAAATTAAGGACAAGCCTAATGACATCAGCAATGTGACGGATCTGTCAGTTTTGTTCTCCCTGCTTGGCTGGTTCTTGCATTGATAAAAGCCATTATTACTGAGATCAATGGAGAGCTTCCTACAAGAGAATCTCAAAGTTCAAATCCTCCCCTGATAATCTGAGATGAGACACTTATTCCCCATTCAGTAAAAATGTGCCTGTTGAAGGAAGGTATCTATATCAACCCAAATTTAATGGGAGAAAAAAAAGTGATCACAGGTCTGTTTACCCCTTACATGGCCATGGCAAGGGATATTTTATAGGGCAGTTACTTTTGAGTCACAAACCACAGTCTTTAATCATCACTCCAGGTTTTGATCTACAAGTAAGGGGCAAAGAGACTTTGCTCACTTCCAAATTTATGAATGTCCATTTTATTGCATCAAGATAAAATTATTGCATGAAGGTAAAATTTGACTTCACTTGTTTTTAAAAATGTTTCCTGTGATTTTTTTGGTTAGGTGGTGTATATTGTCAGCTCTAAAGTTGATAACAATACAGGTAGTTGAGAAATATTACCCACCTATTCTTCAAAGTTCTTTATTGCCATGGGTTTTTTCCATAAAACGTTTGGTTTTTGTACAAAAGTATGTTGATAAAAACTAACCATAAGCTTTCAAAGCAACATGCATGGATTTAGCAGAGAAACTTCCTTCAAAGTGAAAAACCTTCATACATAATATGCCATTGCCTGCCATGCAATTAACGATTCCCGTCCACTAGAGGTGGACAATTTGGACTCTATTCAGTTGTGTTGTCCACCCTTTTGCCAGTGCAATACTATTTGCTGTGGAACAGACCCTTGAGTTTCATGTAAACTAGTTTTACGCATCTCCTTGAAAAGCTGTTCCACAGCTAAACAGATCTCAGGACCATTTTCTGATAGTTAGTGCACATTTTCTCACCTACTGTCACCCTTATACTCCAGTTAGCCTGCCTGTGTACAATAATAAGAGATCCTCTTTCTGCATTTTACAATCCCTCATATACTTGCAGACAGTTGTTTCACAATGATTTATTGCCATCATCAAATATTTACAAAGAAGATGGGCTCAAAGTGTAACTTCAGAGACCAAATTCTAGAAAATCAAGGCTAGAATGGATGCCCATTTATCATGAGTAGTGAAATCAACATTCTTATGGATGCAAGCAATTGGACTATGTGACTGAGAGGACCCCTTCACTCCCAACGAGACTCTCATTTGCTCGTTCACATGCCTTCCTGATGACTGGTGATGGATGCATGCATTTTTATATTTTTAACTTAACAAGTGTTGGTTCGAGATTAAAGCAAAAATAGTGGAGACAATGAGGTCATGTCAGAGTTCTAATCCAGTCTGAGCCTCTAACTCATTGCATGACCTTGGGCAAGTCTTTTAACCTTTGATCCTCAGGCTGTGGAGATGTAAAACTGAGTAAAATGAGGAGGTCACTAAAACCAGATGTTGTATCTGTGATCATGATTCCAGGATCTGACAAACAATTACTGAACCAGTGCAGCAGTGCCTAGTTTCATCATTCAGGTTTTTCTCTGCAAAAAACATGTAACCATTCTCATTACTGCTGCCCTCTCCTCACCTGTCCTGGAAGCAATAATGGTTAGTTATTGACTTATTGCAGAGCTGCATATTTAACAAATATAGCAGACTTCAAAACATTGTCGAAAGAATATGCTCTTCTCTTTTTAAACTTTTCTCCGCTCCAGATTTCTTGCTTTGTTCATCTTGTCCAGCACTACATCGTTTTGCAGGCCGATTAAAAGAAAAAAATAATCTCCCTAATGTACCACAAAAGGTGGCAACATTTTGATTTATGTTTACAAACAGGCTACATGTACACAAGATTTTATGAGTGAAGTTGCTGCTACTAAATATAGATCTAGATATCTCTTAAATTCCATACACCATTAACCTTTCACCTATAATCATCTTACATGTAGGATTTAGCAGCCATTATGTAATTGATCATTAGTGAACTAGATGCAGTGGAGATTTAGAATTCAATTGTCTTTATCATTATGAAGGGTCTCAATTCCTACCTTGAAATCCATCATTTTACTGTATGTGCATTATGTATGTAAACAATGCCTACACATTTTACTTCCAAAGAATGTAGTTACAGCTTGTGATTATCAGAAAAAATAAAATTCCTGAGCTTTAAACAGAGAGCAAAACCTCTCTGCCTCATTTAATAGATTTTGGGAAATGGAAGAATCGTTTAGGACTATAGTTCTGAAATTAGTCATGTTCTTTGGATAAACATTAACAGCTTTACACACTGCATTCATACCACATCCTCAAATGTTTGCAATGATAAATGGGGCAATTAAATATTTTAAGCATATCAGATTTAGTGTTTTAAGAAGGCAGACTATATGATTTTCAGCATTAACCAGTGCATTCTTAGATTACAATCAACACTAATATCACTAAACCTATAGAAATAAACTTGAAAGCAATGATCTTGCCTGTAGCGAAGCAGAAAGCAACACCAACACAAGATGTGTATGTGAATGTGGGGGGAAAATAATGGGGGATGGAAATGAAGGTGAAGGATGAAATCACGATACAAAACATCTTACAATTTGCAGCTAGATGAGTATTTATTTTAGAGAGGCTGTTTGACAAGGTAATGTTCCCTATGTTTAACAAAAGGAAAGTGGGGCAGGGGAAAGATGTTCTGGGGTTTCTTGGGGTTATTCTAAGATGAGCCAAAGTAATCATGAGTAAGCCACACACTGGTAAGAAGGGAATGTGTACTCACTTCTCCTCAACAATTTGCTTTTGATATTCCTCATACTCCTCTCTAGTCATTCCCGCTGCTGCAGCTGGGTCGGAAGGACCACTTTCTTCTTTGCTTTCCTCACCTCCACCACCAAGTCCTAAATTCTTTACCTGGTTGCTCAACATGCTTTTCATTAAGAAAGCCATTTTCTTCTGAAGAAAATTTAAAAACAAAACAAAACAAAACGCTCCTGGAAGACAACAAAACGTTTGTCAGCAAGGGAATTTCTACAACAACCCCCAGCAGCTCTTCAAGGGCACAATGCTAGTGAGAAGAGGATGCCAAAAACAGTTCGTCAGCCATAATCTGGATTAAAGTGGTGAACTCCTTAGATGTAGAGGCAGATGGTTCAGATTACTTCAGAAAATCATTAGATGCAGCTACCTACTTTTAATATTAATACCGTAAGCTAATTGTAAATACAGAAAAATTCATGCAGTTCACAATTTTGGTTTCTTTATTCTGGAAACAACTACATGGAGAGCAAAGAGCCTTCATCAGAACACACACTATCTGAGTTCAAATAAGAGGTGGTTCATTACATGATAGCACTGGAATTATAAAATTCAGGCTACTGAGCAGCAAATCCCTTTGCATGTGCACTGTCCAATGAGAGCTGAAAACTAGGATTCTTCATTAAGCAAAAAACCCCAATCCTTTTAGCCATTAATATTTTTTATTCCATTGGACAGAAAGTATCGTTCAATGGGATTTTCTTCATCTGCTTTTTCAAACCTTTTAAAATGGTTAGTTTCTGTGACAGATGAATGAACAGTTACTCTGATAAAATTTTTTTTTTAAAATAGAGGAAAGACTAGATCTTCATTTTTCTCAACCATTCTGATTTGTTTATGGCTCTATACTCTCTCAAACAGCACTTTGGCTGGCCTTCCATGGACTATTTAGTGCTGAAGATTGGTAACAGTAAGGTAAGAAAAGCATTTTGTGCAGCTAGATCACAGCATTGCTACCTTTTGTCTGAAAATTGTCTTCTTGGGGCTCGTTTTGCAAACCCTTACTCATAAATGATCCAATTGACTTCAATGGAATTAGTTGTGTGAGTTGTGTGTACTCACACAAGGGTTAGTAGGAGATAGCGCTTAGATTGCAAACTCTTTCAGGAAGTAAAATTGTTTACATGTCTCAAATATCATGCACACTTTGGGGCATTTTAATAATCACACTGGGAATTACTGGGTACAGTTTAATGAAATATTTTTCAGCTCTGATGATCAAAATGGCTCTTCTAATGCAGATGGTATTTTATTGGTGATATGGGAGGAGTTCAGTTCAGTTAATGCCCTAATCTACATTAGTACCATTCTAATTAAAGCACTCCCTGCTACTGAAAAACCCCTGCAGATTCAGTAATCCTGGATTATCTCTGGTTAATCAGAAGACTTTAACTTTCCTTTTGAAAACAGATAAATATTACTTAGGAAAATTTTAAATAATAAACCAAATACATTTGATCTACTGAAAAGTGCTACAAAACTATTGTGTTTTAGAGCCTGAAATCATTTTGTAAACATTATGCTCCCCTGAGAATTCTCTGAGAACAGGGATTGCCTCCTGCTCTGCTGATTTATTCAGAACCTAGCAAAACTGGGCCCAAAATATGTCCCAAGTTTTAGTCATCCAATCAGAGATCAAGAAATGAGAACATGTAAATTTTTTGTCCCAATCACAGTTTGATCAGACATTTTGGACCAAACTCTTTGCAAAATAATCAATAAAACGTATTATGTGGTCATACAATTTGCAAACAGAAAAAAGAAAAATAATCCTGCTCAGTTCATTGCCTAGACTATAGATACAAGCAGGACACGAAGCATCACTTTTGCTTTGACAAAAGACTATTAAGGATTTGTACAAATACAGTTGCCAATGAATTTCTACGAGCTCACACGCTGGAGTCACCTACATGGAATGGACATGAGCAACCATCTGAAGAAGAACAAACAGCTACTTACCTCTGTAACTGTTGTTCTTTGAGATGTGTTGCTCATGTCCATTCCATGTAGGTGTGTGCATGCTGTGTGCACACATCGTCAGAAGTTTTTTCCCCCTAGCAGCATCCGTTGGGCCAGCAGGGAAGCCTGCTGGAGTGGCGCCACTACACCGGCCAATATATACCCCTGCAGGCCCTCCACCCCCTTGGTTCCTTCTTACCATAGTACTCTGAAGAAGGGGAGGCATGCGGGATTTGGAATGGACATGAGCAACACATCTCAAAGAACAAGAGTTACAGAGGTAAGTAATCGTTTTTTCTTCTTTGAGTGATTGCTCATGTCCATTCCATGTAGGTGACTCCAAAGCAGAAATCCCAGGAGGCGGGGTTGGAGTTCTAACCTTCAGCTGAGTGGAGGACAGCCCTACCTAGGGCTGCGTCCTCCCTAGCCTGATGGCCCAGTGTGTAATGATTAGCAAAGGTGTGGATCAAAGACCCCCATGGCAGCCCTGCAGATGTTCAGGATTGGGTCCTAAGCCATGAAGGCTGTGGGGGAGGTCTGGGCCCTAGTAGAGTGGGCCATGAGGGGAGGAGCTGGTACTCTCAACAGCACATGACACTCCTTGATACAGGACATAACCCACAAGGAGATCCTCTGCGCAGAGACCAGCTGCCCCTTCAGACATTCCGCAGTTGCTACAAAGAGCTGTGGAGACCTACGGAAGGACTTTGTTCTTTCTAAATAAAAGGCTAAGGCTGTCCTAACAGCCAACGTGTGTAGCGCCTGTTCCTTGCCCAAACCAAGGTAAAAAAACAGGAGAAAAATGTCCCAACACACATGCAAATGAGGCACCACCTTTGGAAGGAAGGTGGAGTGGGGGCGTAACTGGACCCTGTCCTTGAAGAATACCGTATACGGGGAGGGTCAGATGTGAGAGCCTTCAGTTCGGACATGCGTCTGGCTGACATAATATCCACCAGAAAGGACACTTTCTAGGAGAGGTGCAGCAGCGAACACATCACCAGGGGCTCAAAAGGGGGCACCATGAGGCTGGACAGAACTAAGCTTAGATCCCACAGGGAGATGGGCTGAGTCACACGTGGGTAAAATCTGTCCAAACCCCATAAAAATCTGTGGACCATGGGACACGCAAAAAGTGTTGTGTCCCTAGAGCCTAGGTGAAAGGTGGATATAGCTGCCAGGTGAACCCTGATCAATGAAGAGGACAGCCCCTGGACCCTGAGGTTGAGGAGGTAGTCCAGAACCAGCGGGATTAGGGTGTCCATCTGGGAGATATCCTTCTGAGCAGCTCAAATGGAGAAGCGCTTCCATTTAACCAGATAGGTGGCCATAGTGGAAGGTTTCCTACTACCCAACAGGACTTCCTGCACCCGCTCCGAGCACTGGAGCTCCACGGCTCTCAGCCATGGAGCTTCCAGGCCATTAGGTGAAGGGACTGCAGGTTTGGGTGGTGAAGCCTGCCGAAGTCCTGAGTTATGAGGTCTGGGTGCAGGGGAGACTGATCGGCTTCTCACACAACATGTTTAACAGGGACGTGAGCCAATGGTTTCTGGGCCAGACCCTTGACCCATCCCCATGAGGGAGCAGAACCTGGAGCACTTCCTGTTCTGCCATGTTGCAAAAAGTACCACCTGTGGAAGATGTGGAGAGCCACATCTCCCTGGAGGGACTATTCAGAGTTTTCTGGGTTCCACGCAGATAGGATGCGATCAAGTGAACCAGGTGAACATCACCCCAATGCAGAGTTTGCAGAGCCGGAGGGCTTCCTGGCACAGGAGAGGGGAATGCACCCCACTCTGCCTGTGGATATAGGCAACTGCCATTGTGTTGTTGGACAGGATGAGGATTCTACAAGCCAAATACACAGAGAGGCGTTGCAATTACAATTCATCCACAAATTCAATTCCTCCACCAATAACCTCCTCAATTAAGAAAACGGATGGCTGGGACATTATCAACCTAACATTCAATGAAGGTGCCAACAGCTCTTTGTCTGTGTAGATTCTTGCGTTAGTACCATTCCTATCTAATTGCTATCCTTTGATTCTTATCTGCTTCTATTTAACTATCCAATCTTCAGGTGCTTATAGATTACCAGTTCTGCCTACTTGTTTTTCCCTTTGATATTTTCATACCTTCTACTCCTTGTTTCTCGCCCCCCTTCTTTTTTTCCCCTTTCCCCTATTTATTTTGGGTCTGCACATCCTAAACTCAAAACTCCATCATCTGAAGAAGTGGGCTGTGCCCACGAAAGCTCATGATACCATCTACATGTTTTGTTAGTCTATAAAGTGCTCCCGGACCATTTATTGTTTTTTAAGTCAACACTTAACAGCTACTTAAACTATTTACAATTTACAACTGAGATAAGAACTAACACTAACAAACAAACAAACAAAACTGCAGATGGGTGAGAAGTGCTGGGAGCCCTTGCTAAGCAAGAGCAGAGCAGGTTCCAACAGACTGTCAGGAGCAAAAAGAAGGAATTTTCTGGTGGAGGGCTAGCAGTGGATATATACATATTTTCCAATATAGCAGCACCACTCCAGGGGGCTCCCCTGCTGGCCCCGCAGGCGCTGCTAAGGGAAAAAACTTCCGACAATGCATGCATGAAGCGCGCGCACACTTACATGGACACGAGCAATCAGTCGAAGAAGAATAGTAAATAGTGGCTTACGTTTACGTAGCACCTTTACAGACAGGCATCACCATACCCATTACAGATGGGAAGTTGCTTCCGAAGAGGATCATAGCTGCACTTAAAGGGTAAACATCTTGATAGAATGCACTGTCCAGACAAATGCACATAGAGCTGAGGAATGGTCTTCATCCCCCCTCTACAGCATGCTTCAGCTAGGTGGATGTTACTGCAGGGCATAGCAGAGGCAACAGTTTTACAGAATCCGGCATCAGTGGGCTCATAGCTGTAAATTTATCCCACTCCTGCAAAGTGTCCAGAGAGCTGCAGTGGAGTTTGCATTCAGAGTCCCCCTGCACAAGCTTTCTCTGGTCTGGCAGTTGGGCAGGGAATCAGGTACTCAAATACCAAGCTAACTGATACAGCTTCCCCTGAATGGGGCATTTTATTTTTCAGGTGGGCAGGTGAAGAACTCTGAAGCAAAGAACCTGGGGTCTTCTAGTTTTGCTTTGAGTAGCTTACCAATACTTGTCTGCATTGTGCTCTGTTATGGTCAACAAAAAAAATCTTGCTATGCTGCTTCTGGAACAACAGCCCTAGGAAATATTCCCTTTTGCTTTGTTGTGAGGAACGAATAAGACCTGTGCTTTGTTTATTAATGTAAGTGTAACCCTTCTGAC